ACTCGATGGCACCTGACAACAACAACAATGGCAGAGATGGGCAGAGCAGGACAGGTGTCAGGGCCTTGAGACACAGTTAGCAAAGATGCCACACAACTGGGACTATGAGATCCCATGAACTGAGCCCTTACTCCGAGCCAGGCACTGTATCAAAAGATGGAAAACCTCAAGAGTAAGACATGGCAATCATCATTTCATAGATAATCTAACTGAAGAACAGAGAGGTCCTGTAACTTGTTCAAGGTCACAGAGTTTTAGCTGTCAGACAGCAAGAGCTCAAACCCAGGTGACTTTCAGCAAAGGCGCAAGTGGCTGTGGCTGACCAAGTGTGGGGTACCAAGAGAGGATAAAATTGAGGTTGCTGAAGGTGTCATGGAGGTGGGTCTTACCTTAGCGTGGTCAGCTGGCAGCTGGTGAAGAGAGAACTGATGCTGCTGTTCTTAAACAAGGGCCTGAGCTGCAGAGGAAGGAGAGAGACGGTGAAAAGGAGAAGCTAAGAGGGCAAGATGTGGTGGGGCGAGATGAGGTAGGCACTGGGAGGCTCTCACCAGGCGCTGCAGGACCTTCTTGGTGGTGTTGAAGATCTCAGATTCTGGGTGTCCCATGCCTTCCACGTAGCGCAGGTTGGTGATGGTGAGGTTGATGGTAAAAGGTATCAAGGGAGGAAGTGAAGCTGTAGTGGGGAAAGGTAAGTCAGTTCATGGTGGAGTTGAGGGTACACTTCACTGCAGTGCTGAGTTCCAGTCATACTTGGACTATCTTGCTTGAGAGACTTGGTAGAGCAGTCACTGCCCTTGACCCTCCCACATAGGATGAACATCCATTCAGCTTGCCTGGAACTAAAGGGGTTCCTGGGATGCAGATTTAAGATTTTAACAGCAAGACAGTCCCAGAAAAACTGGGCTTAGTTGGTCACCTGACTTCTACATCTTCTTGGCTCTGAACCACTTCAGCACTTGGCTACACCTGCGTTTCTATGTTTGGGGGGAATAAACAGGCCCCGGGAGCATCCTTCCAGCAATGACTGACGAGAGGTGGTAGATAAATACCTTATTCCCTTGCTTAGGATAACTCCAGGGTGCATGTTCTATGCCATCTCCCAAGGCTTCCCAGCAGAATTGAGCTTCAGTTGTCCACAATGATAATGTGTTCACCAACACACCTTTCACTGCCTGCTTTCCCTTCCCTATCTCACTTCCTCACGGTCCTAAAAATGCTGTGGTGGTGGTGGTGGGGATGTGCCGTGGAGTCGCCTCCAATTCATAGCGACCCTGCATAGGGTTTCTGAGGCTGTAAATCTTTACAGGAGCAGAAAGCCTCATCTTTCTCCCGTGGAACAGCTGGTAGCTTTGAACTGCTGACCTTGAGGTTAGCAGCCCGACTTGTAACCACTCTGCTACCAGAGCTCAAATGCTGTATTTACACTAAAATCTGTGTTTGAAGGTCTAACACATAAGACCTTGTCTGGTTGCAGAGAGATTCCTGACTCAGGGACTTGGGTCTTCAAAAATGGCAATTCCAGGGAGGGCAGGATGTAAACAGTCCAAGAAATTGCTAATGAAGTGACCACCTCAGAGTCAGCTCCTAGCCTTGGCTAACTTTTCCTGACCCACCTGCTCTTTACCTCTGCATTTGAGTGGCCAAGGACTAGTCTCCTCCCAGCAGCTGAAGACCACCATACAATATTTTATGACCTATTTTGTTCATCAGTGGAACCTACTGCTGAAGGTAACACATTTTTGTGTTTTCTTTTTAGTTGTACAAACACACACAACAAAACCTTCACCAATTCAATGGTTTCTTCATGCACAGTTCAATGATATCGACTACACTCTTCATGTTGTACAAGAGGGCAGCATTTCAAGTGTCCTCAGGACGCTCCTTGTGTCCACGGAAGGAACTAGACATCAGAGACATCCCAAAGATTCTAGAAAGGGAGACTCTTCTGCTACCGTTACCATCTGCCTTCCTTACATCCGAGAAAAGAGCACTCTGTGATATGCAAGGAGAACTGGAGAAAGGACTTGGAGACCCCGGAGTATGAAGTGGGGCTCATATGAGGTGAGGGCCACATTTATGTTGAAAAAGGCAGACATAGTATGAGATAGCATACAGGGTGGAATCTGCTTGTGGGGCATGGTTCATCTGCCCAGTGGGGTCAGTCTGGGCCTGGGCCTGGGCCAGGTTGCCTCTGGAGTTCCCATGCTCCTTTTGAGTTCCCTTGATTCCTTAAATACTGGGAACACTATCATCAGTGTAATGGCTGAGTCTACAGAGCCTGTAACAGAACCAATAGACATATACTAAAGGACTCCTATTGGCAGAATGAGTTTGAACGGATTCAGTGGTGAATGGTGGTGGTGGTGGCTGTGGGCCGTGGAGTCGGTTCCTACTCATAGTGACCCTGTATAGGGTTTCCAAGGCTGTAAATCTTTATGGGAGCAGAAATCCTCATCTTTCTCCTGTAGACTGGCTGGTAGTTTCGAACTGCTGACCTTCACCCCGACTAGTAACCATTATACTACCAGAGCTCCTTCAATGGTGAATGGTTTAGTTTAAATGAAATAATGGTAGAGCCAAACTATTCAGGGTCGCTATGCGTCAGCACTGACTCGATGGCACTTAGCAACAACAACAACAGAGCCAAACTATATTAATAAAATGTTATTCTTGTTAGGTCAGTTATGGCTCATCGTGAACCTGTAGAGGGTTTCCAAGGAGTGACTGGTGGATATGAACCAGTGACCTTGTGGTTAGTGGCTCAGTGTTTATCCGACAGCATCACACTAGGACCCCATTTTAATGGAGCAGTTGATACATTATATAACATGGAATATGCTCACAAGTTACAAAACTAAAGTTTTGTATGATTTGGTTGTTCTTTTAAAAAGCAAACAAAGGCACTATATAACAAGTTCCTGAGGCAACCTTTTATCTAAATAACAGGTTGATTCACAAAATGAATCTCACTCTCAAGTACTGTGCTCTAAAAAAAATCATCTATATGAAACTAAAGGTCAAAAAATACTTTTAAACAAAGATGAGAAAGTAAGGGGACAGGCAAACTAGAATCATGGGAATGGAACAACCAACCAAAATGGAGATATTGAGGATGTTGATGCATTTTGAAGAATGTAACCAACGTCACTGGATAATTTGTCTAGAAATTGTTGAATGGGAAACTAAGCTGCTGTGTGTAAGCCTTCATAAAAAAGATTTTAAAAACAAAATAACAACACAAATCACAAGACTTTTCTTGAGGCAGAAGGTGGACGTATGAAGGAATTTTCTTTCTGTGAGTTTTATGTGTTTTCAGTATTGGCAACATAATTGTACTGTGTTTTTCAGGTGAGGAAAACTATAACAAGAATAAATAGTTATTCTTATGAAAATTATTCATGCATTAGAGGGGAGACACATGTTAACACAGATGGAGGGGCAGGCAATATACAACAAGAGGGAGGTTGACGTAGGAAAGATGGAGGAAGCAGGAGACACAGGGAGAAATGCAAGAGTTAAAGTGAACCAAGGTAAATACTGTTAACTGAAGGCACGTGGAGAGGATCACAATTATTGTTTTGTTAAGAAGCAATGTGTATGATTTGTTGAATGTAAAAATCATGATCTGCTCTGTAAACCTTCATTGAATTTACAATAAAGTTTTTTTTTTTAAAAAGTTACACTTACGTGTTGTTGAAGCTTCACTCACAGAGGCCCAGGTAGACATCCCAGGTGTGGTCCTAGAGGTAGAGGGACTTCTGGACAGTGTACTGAAGGTGACTGTGCTCTGGACCACACTACCCCCGGGACCTGTGGCAGTTGGCTCAGTAACCTTAACACTTGTACTTTTCAGGATTGTGTTTGGACTTGCTCCATGGCTGGTTTTAGATGGTGTTGGGGTCTCTGATGGTATCAAGGTCTCAGTGGCTTCTGTGACTGTCTTGGAAAATCCTGGGGGTCCAACAGAGGTCGTAGGTATTGAGGTGTCTGTGCTCCAGGAAACGAAAAGATTCGGCTCCTCAGCTGTTGCAGAGGCCACGGAAGGTCCAGGTACACCAGAGGAAACAGTCAGCGCTGGAACACCTGTGCTGGCCTTTTCTACGGGGCTGATGGCCAATGAACTTGTGGTCTCTGATAGACCAGGAGAAAAAGTTGAAGTTGATATAGTTGTGCTGATCTCTGTCCCAGGATGGGTGGAGAATGAGGCTGCTTCTGTGGGAACTCCAGTTGAAACCATTGGAGACAGATCATATTTACTGGTCTCAGTCCTGGTTGTGGTGGATAAAGAGGATGTTGTTTTTGCTACACCAAGCGAAGCAGTCTGAATTGGTAGGGTGGTACTCATCTCCACTCTGGGTGTGATCGTCAGTGAGGTGGTGGTCTCTGACAAATGAGGGAAAACAGTGGAAGCAGAAATAGCTGGACTTGACTCTGCACTGGGATGGGTGACCAAGAAAGTTGAGGTCTCTAGTTCACTGGGAGAAACAGTCAGCACTGGAATAGTTGTACTGTGCTCTGTCCTAGAACTAGTGACCAGGGAGGTCACCACCCCTGGTACACCAGGAGAGGCAGCCCAAGTTGGAACAGCTGAACTGAACTCAGCCTGCAAATGGGTGACTGGTGAGACTGTAGTCTCTGGTTTACCAGGTGAAGCAGCCAGAGTTGTAACAG